TTAAAAAGACTTATTTATGCATACAAGAACTGGGGTACAGGCCAGAGGTGGGGTGGGTGAGAGGATTCACCAGAGACAGAGTGGGGAGCAGAACAGGCAGGTGGACTGAAATACATGGCTGAGGGGAGCAGCGGGCAGTCCAGGGGAGGTCTGCTGCGCCATGTGGGCCACCTCCCTGGCTGGGGATTGACTTGGGCTGCAGTTGCTGAGGTGGCTTCACAGTGGTGTGCTTTAACCTATTGTGCCACCAGGGAGGGCCCCTGTCTTTGTCTTTCTTACCTGCATTCTAATCTCCAGAGGGGGTTATGTCCTGTCACAGTGCCTTGGGAGAGGCATTGTGTGTATGTGTGTGTGTGGGGTGTTAATAAGTTTAAATCAATACTGAATAGATCCAGGATCCTCTGGAGCTAGAAGAGGAAAAGCCCCAACAAAACTGTATCGAGTCCCCCCAAAGGCAAGACTAACGAAGATGGTGGCCTGGATGTAACAGGAGGGCAGGGGCCTATATGTGTGTTTATGGTGCGACTGTAACTGGCCGCTCTGAGGACAGCGGTGGAGTCTGCTGTGTGTGTGTGGGATGGGGGGACGTGGGGGGGGGGCGGGAGGCTTGTGTGTGTGTTGGGGGCGCGGGCAGGGGGAGATGCAGGCCCTGGCAGCTTACTAAGGAGCTAGAGAGGCTTGAGCTGCAGGGGTCCTCCCTCATGAACCCCCCTTCCAAGTCCCTGAGAGGATTTGGTGTTTATGCCACTGTCATCTTAAAAAGGTGTCACCTTCCCCTTCCTAAACAAACTCCCACTCCCTACTCTTAACAGTGTATATCTAATTTTTAAAAATTTTTTGGTAAATGGCTCAGGCCCCTGGTGGAGAACCTGCTCCCCGGAAAGGTGCGGGCGCCTGGCCCAGGCACCCTCTGTGTCTCTCTGTCACCTGTTTGCTGCCCTTTCTAGGCCCTGATAAGAACTGGATTTCCCTAGCTGGTTTGGGGTCCTGTTTCTCTTTCTTTTTTGAAAAGAAGAGCCTCAGCTGGGGCAGCTGCCTGGAGTTGCAACATTTGTGGGGTTCAAGCACCCTCTTCTGGTCAAATGGAGTTAGAGCGGGGAGTGGGGTACAGCCAGTGGCCCGCTGTTAGGGTGCAGCACATCAGCAGGAGGAGCCGGGGAGGAGGGGGCACAGCAAGCCCCTTCTGTTGGCAGGACACATGCAGGTGCCCACCTCGCCTTCATCCACGTGCGCGGGCCTCTGCCACGTCCCATGCTGCTCACCTGGTGCCCGCAGGCCGATGGCAGCTCAACCAACACGAGGCACAGTCCTGGCGTCAGGTCCCACTGCTGAGGGCTCAGCCAGCCGCACTCCAGATGCCAGCAGCAGGTGGGGGTCCCAGGACATCTGCTCCTCTGGCCAGCCAGCCCAAGTGGGGGTTCCAGAGCGCCTCAGTTTTGGTCACCCTCTGGAATGACTCCCAGAACCCCCGAAGAGGCTGCACTAGGGCTCCAGGGTCACTTAGAGGATGCTGGGCGGTGGCTAGCTGCGTCTAGGCGAGGCATCTAGGGGAGGGGGGAGGGGGTGCCCCTTCTGCGGAGTGGGGGCTTGTGGGCCCCAGGCACATTTGCGTGTCCCTCCCTGGAAGAACCAGTGACCTGGATGCCCAGAGTTTCCCCCGCAATTTCCTTATGTGGGCCCGAGGGGCTGGGCACTGGCTGTTATACTCAGTCCAGCCCTCTGCTCCTGGCACAGCCTCCTCTGATGCTGTCTTGGGTGAGGAGCCCCACGCTAAGCTACCTAGGGGCCCATCTGAGTCACCGCCCTGGAGTAACAAAAACACTCTTGACACTGGAAAATACCAAGGGTTTTTGAAGCTGGGTGCCAGGAACGGGGAGACAGGCCCCTCTGTTCTTAGAGCACAACAGGTGCCGTGTCCCATTGACCCCGGTCACCGCTGCAGCTGGCCAGCCCCTCGCACCTGTTCAGCCAGGCTCCCCACACCAGTGGCCAAGCCACAAACAAGCACTCCGGTCACCCCACAGTCCCTCCTTAAAAGACACGCCTGGGCCCTGCTGGATGTTGCAAAGAGAAATCCTGCCCTACAGAATGTCTTTTTCTGAAAAGAACGGTGCCTTTCCTCTGGCTCAAGGTCACTGGTCACTGGTGTTTAGGACACAGGTTTTCCTTGCCAATCACTGTTTTCTTTTGCTTCAAACACAGCAGGATCAATCCCAAGTCCCTGCGAGCTGCCATCACTGGCCTGCAGGCCCTTGAGGCCCCAAGTGGTGTCGCCCCACTCTGCTCCAGAGTCACCCTGCTGCAAAGCCACTGCTGCAGCTCCTGCCTTCGGGACAGCAGCTCCTGCTTCAGCTGGGAGAGCCAGTGTTCTGCAGAGCATCGCCGGGCCTGCCAATTCTTCCCTCCCACCGGCCAGTCCAGCCGGGCCTGGAGCGCATGCTTGCTTATTGATTTGGCTGGTCTCCTGGCTGCAGAAAGGAGGCAACAGAGCAGGTGCATTTAAACTCCCTCCTGCTGGTAGAAAGCTGCTGCGTGGAAGCCACAGAGGGGCAAGGAAACACAGTGGTTAGGGCCTCAGGGGCCCAGAGCTGCTTGCCAGTTGCTAAAGGAGACTCAGGGAAAGAGGAAGTTGAATATCACCACACCTCCACTTCCCCGACTGTAAAGTGGGGTAATAACCGACCTCATCACCGCAGGTCTCGGATGTTGCAAAGAGTCAGTGCTTGAGGCCAACTGGAGTTGAGCACAGAAGGAGGGGAGGGGAAAGCCATTTCCCAGGGCTGCAGCCCGATCCCCTTGTGTGCTGGGTTTGAGGGCAGCACCTCGGGGCTGCCTCTGACCTGGTGGCCTCAGGTTCCCTGTATGTACTCCTGACCGTGAGCTCCCACTGGAGCCTCCAGCCTGCCACCTCCTGATTTGTCAAACTAATAGAGGCTCAGAGCCGTGACACAGCGCTGTCTCCTCTTGTGATCACACTTAGCTCCTGGTGGGCTGACTGAGAGGGACCAATTACTTATGGACTCACCAGAGACAGAGTGGGGAGCAGAGCATAGGCGGATCGACGAAGGACACTGCTGAGGGGAGCCGCGGGCGGGTCAGGAGAGGTCTGCCGTGCCATGTGGGTCACCTCTGGGACTGGGGATCGAACTCGCATTGAAGAGGGTGCTGCTCGCTTGCAGCGCTCCCGCTGAGCCAGGGAGGGCCCCTCTATCCAGGATTTAAAGTAGCAGAGGGCCTGAACCTGGGAAAGGTTCAGCCAGCCTAAGTATCTGGCTGCAGGATCCTCCGGGGTTTAGATATCATGCCAGGCACTACAGAGCTGGAAATTTGGGAGCTCAGGGAAAGTGTGGGGCCAGGGTGGCAAAGCAGGTGGGGAAACTTCTCTGAGATGGGAGCGTCGCCCTCAGGAAGACTTTTGGAGTTGACCTGCCATCTTGTGGTCATAAGTAGGAATCACTCTCCTCGGGGAAGCCTGGGGCAGTTACCAGCAGGTTTTTGGCTCCCCAGTCCTGCCCTTAGTGGGGTGGCAAGGTCAAGAGTTGGCAAGGTCAAGGGTTGGCCTGAGGGCAGGAGGTGGTGATGAGAAAGGAGAGTTTAGTTTCCTCATACTCTCCATTATTTCCCAAAAGTGACCAAAAAAAAAAAAAAAGAAAGAAAGAAAGAAACAAACCCAAAACCACCAAACCTTTGGTAAGAAAATATTCTGCCTTTTAACTTTGATGCCAACAATGAATGAAAGCAACTAGAAAAAACCCTGCTGCTTTCACTGGCCCATGACCTATAATAGCCCATAACAGATTTTGATACAGCAAGGCGTCCTCAGGGTTCCATCCGGACACCAGCATTTACTGTTCAGTCTGGGCAGGGACATGGCTCCTGATTTCAAGGGCGTTTGCTTTATTTGGGGGAGCTGGGACAAAGCCTTTTACATACCCTGGCATAGGTAGGGCATGGTGCACATGGGGGATGTTTCAGCCTGCAAACTACCCATTGCATTTATTTATTTTCTTTTATCACCTGATTCTGAGCCCCTATTTCTCCCAGTTAATGGAAGTTCAGCTTCAGACTAAGACTTTGAATAAGGCCAGGAATGGGTAAAATATGGTGCACAGAGTCAGAGTGAGGACAGAAATTATTTCAAACAATGATTCTAGCAGGAATACAGAGCATCAATCACCACCCTTGGGGAAGCCTAAGGAAACCCAGGCTGGTGGCTTGATTCCTGAATATTTCCACTGGCGCTCCACAGTGTCTGGCTCTGGACACCCTCTAATGTTCTCAGGTCCCCACCACTTGCCCAAAACAAACACCAGGCAGATGTGCTTGTTCAGTGCACAGGTATTTATTGAGCACCTACTACACACAGGCACTGTGCAGTGCACAGAGGTGCAGGAGAAGTTTCTAGCCTTGCTTGTCCACAAAGATGACTAACCGGGTGAATCCAAACCCTTCTCAGCCGGGTCCTTCCCTTCCCTCTATTGCAGCAATTTCCGCTCTTATGCTAAACTCCTCACCAGCCTCTTGCCCCAGGTCTACTGAAAACAAATGCAACATGGCAGATTCCTAGGACAGTCTAGGAAGCCGTTGTTTCAGGTGGAACCATGCGGCTCCCAGGTCAGGTGTCCAGGTAGTGACTGCCATGACTAGACAGATGCCAGGGCCCTAGGTGTTCACGTGGTGACCCCTGACATTTGCCTCTAAAGCTCCCTGCCCTCATTTTCTGGGCATCTGTGTCCCTGTCACTGCCTCCTGCATCTGGAAAATCTGTCCCCGTGGCACGGCTCACGTGACCCTGGCTAAGGCTTTGGGACACTGACTTTCCCCTGCCCCCCTGTCCCAGCCTCTCCCTGCCTGGGCACAGCCGTATTGAGTTCCAAGTGAGTCTCCGTGGTGGTGAAGGCGGCCACCGAGGCGCGCCCCCTGGCGGTGGGCAGGAGAGGGTGGCTCCCGCGGACGGGTGCCCCAGCAGCAGACGCGGAAGCACCGACCCAAGCCACACTTTATTCGCTGCTCACAGCTGCTGCGGCAGCGATGTTGGTCCACCGAGGCCCCAGCGGACACTTGGCCCACTCGCCGCCACCATCTGACTTGGCACGACTTCGCGGTCGCGGAGACTTCTTTCCAGACCAAGCTTGTTGCTCTGTCGTCACATCAAGAACCTGGTGTGAAAGGTAAGGGGGTTAGGCTGAAGGCCAGGGCAACCTCGTGGCTGCTTGAGAAGCTGTTCAGGCAGGCGCAGATTCTCGTGGGGTCGCGAGGAAACTCCTTTGTCACTCTGGCAGGACGCGAGCTGTGGGTTAGGGTCAGGGCCGGCTTGGGGAGGTGTGTGTGGAACCAGTTACCTGGTCGGCAGAGGTTGGGCGGCAGCTTTAAGTTTAAAGAGGCACCAACCTTTATTCCAGCAGTTGCACTGGGCCTGGAGACTGGTGATAGTGCTACTTCCGGGGCAAAGCATGGCAAATGACAAGTGCCCATAAAAATCCGGACTTGAGATATGAAATCCCAGGCTGCAGTGATAGGCTGAGATGGATCTGAATCGCCAAGGCAAAGCGAACTCAGAGAATGTGATGTTTGGGTCTATTTAGGATAAATAAGCAACTGTGTGTGTGCCCACACATGTGCAAAGCAAGCTAACAGGTCACAGGTCACACGTGGTCCATCACAAGCCCTGGTCCTGGCCTATCAATAGCCACGGGGCGTTCTCAATGCCTTCCAGGCCTGAACCTACTTACTCTTCAAAAACTCCTGCGCTGTGAGTGCTATGAGCACCCCCTTAACACAGATGGGGAAACTAAGGCATGGGGTGTTTGGGAGACTTACCCAGGGAGCTCCAGGAGTGGAGCCAGTATTGAACATCACGTGGTCTGGGCACGATTTTAACACTGCATCACCCACCCACCTATCTCACCGGGGAAGCTGTGGAACCGTGCACCTGAATTTGTTCCTGAAAGCTGAGGGGTGTGTGTGATAGGAGCTCTGATTTCTCCCTGCTATGCTTCTGTGAATTTTAAATTTGTGTAAGTATACATATCATTTGTAGCAAAAAGTGAAAGTCCCAAATTCACACAACAAAGTGATTATGCTGCTCTTTAGTCAGAACTGAAAAACTCGCAGCATGTCCACCAAGGGGCAACTTAAGAGCCCCCACTCAGAGGGTCCCCAAGACTCGGGGACCCAGGCCCCAGTTCTGGCTGTGAGACCTCATTTGCAAAGTTGGAGGGTCTCAACCTGGCCTCTCTCGCTCTACCCTGGGCTCTGCCAGCCAGTGTCCCAAGGAACATGGGGCGTCATTAAGGGAGGGCTGAGGGCGAGGTCATGGACAGGGCAGCAGAGAGAGATGGGCCTGCGGTTGCGGGTGATGCCGTGTGTAGAGGGACTCAAGGCTGGAGGCCCAGAGCCCTACGCACCCCGACTAAGCAGAACAGGGTCTGCTCTCCCCACCTGTGCCTGGCAGCCCAGGTCAACAGAGGCACAGCATAGTGGCCGTAGCAGAAGGCTGGGCAGGGCCAGAAGGGACCTTCTCGGATGGTGAGGGCACCAGCAAGACTCGGGCCCAAGGGGCAATGGGAGACCCCACCGAAGACCCAGCCCTGCCCTGCAGCCCCGGCCAGCAGGTCTAGCTTGGGGGGAGGCCGGTAGGTTACCATCTCCAGGGTCCTGAGTCAAAGGCCAGAGCATCTTTCTAGCACTTATCGTTTATGCCTCCTCTAGAAAGCTCAGTTTTATGATTTCTAGCCTGGTACCACCCTTGGGTGCTGTGAGAATTCAGGCACCTGCGCTTACCGGTGACTGGCAGAGTCCTTGGCAGGTGGTAAAGGCTTGCAGGCTGGCCACGGTCACTGCCACGTCATACCTTCTCTAACTTTTCAAGGGATAGTGTGGCAGGTGCATGGCCTGAGGCGCCCACACTGGCTCACACCTTGGTCCCAGCAGTGACCTGTCCGGCCTCTGAATCTCTGAATCTGTTAACGTTCTGTGACACTCTCTGCCTGGGGGTTATGTCCCCTTCTGTCCGCATGCTGCCACACCCTCCATCACCCTCAGGCGAGGAGTCTGGCTTCCCGTGACCCCTCCTACTAGGCTATGAGTAAGTGACTCCAGAAGCTGGCTCCCCGCCAGCAGCTGGGAAGTTGAGACTGAAGCTCTTCTGAGAGAGCCAAGGCGAGATAAGGGTTACACTGGACTAGGCCTGGGACCCAGGGGTGAGGCAGCAGCGGCTGCAGGTTCAGCGGTGGTGCCCCCCAGCACTCAGGTCACCCCTGCCAGAGTGCATCATGGGGAGCTGGGGGCCAGCCTGGGGCAGCGCGGAGGGGGACTGGCCGCTGGGCCTGGGCTGACCTGAAGTCCACCATGCCTGTCTTGTCTTGCAGCTTCTTTATCAGGTCCCTGATTTGGAACAGGTTCATGGGGACTTTGTTCTGCTGTGGTGGCAGATGGAACATAGAGGGTTAGTGGAGCATGGTGCTTACCCTCAGCTCCCACGGCACATGCGTGCACACACACACACAGGTACACACGTGCACACACATGCACACACACTGCCTGCACCCACTCAGCCTCTGTACACCTGGACCATAGCTTTCCGGAACTCGCCCACGGTCATCTTCATGGACCCCGTCGGGCTTAGGCTCCTGAAGAAGTCCACAGCGGTCATTTGATGCTGATCTACATAGTTCTGGAAGAAGGAGACACCAGGAGCACACGATTGACCTTACAGCAGCCCCGCCATGGCGGCCAAGCTCCCAGACCTGGCAGGCGGGGATGGGAGTAGGGTGTTTCAAGGGGGGCAGGCCCTGGGGTCTCCCACATTTCAGACCAAGAGCCAGGCACAGACAGGTGTGGCCAGGCGAGCTGCCGAAGCTCAGGTGTGCGTCCCGTCCTGGCTGCCTCCACCCCAGGCAGGATCTGTGCGCCATTCCAAGGTGGAAGCGAAGGCGCCCCGCAGCCTCCTGGGGATGGCCGGCGATCTGTCCACGGATTCTATTCAAAGGGCCTCCTGGAACTTCTCACATAGTGGCGGTTTTCATACAAGAGCTCTTCCGTTTAGTCCACAGAGCAGGCCCAGGGCAGGAAGCAGTCCTGGGCCACATGTCCTGCACACCCTGCCTTTGCAAGAGGCTAGCCCCCCGGGGTCCTGACCTCCCTTCCAGCTCCAGCTTTGCCTCTTTTTTATTCCCACTGTCCCATCTGTCTCCTAAGTCTCAAGCCAGGTACAGGGTGACATCAGCCAAGTACATGAAGGTCCCTCATTAGCTGAAGACACCAAACAGCTGTCCTGCCCTTCAGGGGGTCTTGACTTCCTCAGCAGCTCTTGAGAAGAGCCCGACTTGATGGAGCAGCTACTTTCCGCAGGTGCCATTCTTACATGCCCTGCCTGTCATGGGGCCACTCTATGGGTAGCTCTGGGGGCCTTGAAATGAGTCAGATGCTGGGCCGACAGGGGAGGACCCTGACAGCCTCCAAGACTCGCCTCAGGTGGGCATCGGGAAAGGGAGGAGCCTGGCTCCCAAGACCCCCACTTCAGCCAGTTCTGGGCTCTCGCCTTCCTCTGGGGAGGAACACAGACCGGCCGAGGGAATACTCCCTGTCTCGGACATTCCTGGGCAGAGAGGATTGTGCAGCCTCGTTGGGAAAGGGGAAGTGGGGTGGCTGAGTTGGAGCCAAAGGTCAGCTTTTTCCAAGGGGTGCTGGGAGAGCAGCGGAGACTCACCAGGACCAGCCTCATGGGGTTTGTCCACAGGAGGTAGGTCTTCTTGATCAGGGCCCCCTGCACTGCCTTGTAGACCACGTCCAGCTGGGGGTGGATGGTGTACACCGCGTCCAGGGTTTTGGTGAACTGCTCAGTCACCATCACATTCTGAGTCAGGGAGAGAGAGGACTCGGTTACGCAGGGGGCGCTGGGTCTCCCCACCCAGATTTGGGGGGCAGCCAAGGCAAAGTTAAGGTGTTCTGTCTTTTCCAGTTTGTCCTGCAGTGCTGCTTCTGGGCGGGTAGTTGCTGTGGTTTTAGAGCCTGGTGTTGGCCTGTGAGCTTGCGATGTGGTTTCCATGTGATGCTCTTGTTGAGCACCGGGGCTTGTCACAACCTGTGCCCAGCTCCGCCTGAGCACCTGCAGAGGACCGATGCCACTCAGCTCCGAGGGTGTGAGCAGGACCTGACACAGAGACCTGGAAATGTCTGCCTCTGCAGGAGTGCTGGCCTTCAGAACAGGGCCCCTGGGAGAGGGTCCTCACTCTAGCCACCCACCTGTCACAGCAGAGGCTGTCCTGGGCCTCACCCTGAATGCACTGGAAGTGCTCAGATTGGGCCGGAGGCCAGAGGAGGTGTGTTCTGGGCACCGGTGCTGGAGCCGAGTGGCCTCCAGCACCAGGTCCGCCTGCATCCGTCCTCGGGGTGGTTTGGAGTGTCTTCTGCCTTTGCAAAGAACTAAGCTGAAGACTTATTTCCTCCCCTTTGTAGACATCCTAGAAAAAGTTCTAGAAGCCTCTGCAATGAAAGGATTCTAACACCATTTAGAGTTTTGGCAGCATCACTGACAAAAGGGAGGAAAAGGCTGACTCAGACCTATTTGTTCTGGTTGGCTTGTGATGAGGTGGTGCGTGCCCCGCCTCTGGGGTTATGCACCAGCCAGCGCTGACAGCACCATCTCATTCCTCCCTCAGCCACCACGAAAGGCCAGGTCCACGCCTTCTGCTCAGCCTGGGGGCAAACCTGTGTGCCAACACCATCTGGAGTGTGGCCGAGACTCAGAGGCAGAGTGCGGGAGGGCTCAGGCAGCGCCGAGGGGCACAAGGTCAGGGCGAGGGAGGGTGCTGAGGAGAAACACCACAGGCACAAGCAGCAGGAGAGGAGGCGGAGCAGAGTGAAAAGAAAGGCAGGCGTGCCTTCACGTCTTACAATTTATGGCGAACATACTTTTACTTACTCGTTCCAAGGTTTACCACCTTAGATATAATCTAAGGTGTTTAAATCTTAACAAAATATCAGATTTGCATGGCATTTAAAAAACAAGAAGGGAGTTCAGCACCTTTACCCTAGCTTTATGGAAATCCGAGTAGGAGGCAGAGGGCCTGGGTGTGCTTTTTGCTGTGCTTCTCATTTGCTGTGTGTTCCTGGGTAAATGACCTAACCTCTCTGTTTCAGTTTCCTTATATGTAAAATGGGGGAAATGAGGAAAAGCTTGAGGTGTGGGTTGAGTAGTATCCCCACCAAAAAGATGTTGAAGCCCTAACTATATAGTCCTTGTGACTCTGACTTTGTTTGGAAATAGGGTCTTTGCAGAAGAGCAAGGTAAGGTTAGGCTGGGCCCTAACCCCACATGCCTGATGTCCTTATGAACCGGGGCTATTTGGATCCGGAGCTAGACATGCACAGCACGGAGCCCAGGAGCGTCCACAGCCTGGAACCACCGGAAGCTGGGAGGGGCAGGGAATGGGCACTTCCTCACAGACTGCAGAAACCAACCTTCACAGCATCTTGACCTTGGACTTTCATCTTCCAGGCCTGGGAGGCAGTAAATGGCCATTGGTGAAGCCACTGGCTAGGGCACTTTGCTATGGGAACCTAGGAGAGAATATGTTCTGCCTCCTTCCTGGAGCAGCATAGCACAAGCTAGTGTATGGAAAGTCACTGAGACATGGATAAAATGGTGGGCAAGTATAGGATTCTGAGGGTACTGCTATGGTCAGCTGCCACCTCTGTGCTGATTCAGGGAAGAGTACTTAAGTGAAGGATTATCACCCTCAAATGTTATGCTGAATAGAGCAGGCCCAGGTGTGAAATGAAAATTCAGGTTTTACGTGCTTTAATACTCCAATTCTAAATTCCTGTGTCCTGGAACCATTCTGGGTTCGAGAGCCATCCATCAGCAAAGCTGACAGTTTTGGGGTCTTCCTACCTGTGTTTTCCCACTTCTGCTCTCAGGCCCACTCTCAAGTGCACAGGGTTTGGTCCCAGGGTCCCACACTGTGGTATCATCACTGAAGGGACCCCTGGAGAGTGTAGACCTTCACTCCAAGCCCTCTGGCCTTTCCCTGGAGTGCCGTGAGGCCTGGAGGGACAGGAGTGCTGGCCCCTGCCCCCCCCAGGGGCTGTGGTAACTGATGCTCACGGATGTCTGTGACTGCCACTTGACCACTTACAGAAATATCCAGGTCTTCCATCTTGGATTTGGGGTTCCTCTTGATGGCCAGGACAAGCGAGACAGCCCCTTCTATATTCATAGGGTTCAGAAAAAGCTGTGGAAGAAGCTGAGATGGAGCAGCTTCCATTTCTTCCTGTCAGTCACAGTCTGTCTTCCTCTTAAATGTTCCTGGAAGTACCTGACTCTGTGTCCATCTGTTTGCTCAGTCACCCACCCACCTGTCCATCGCATTACCCACCTATCCTTTCCTCCATCCATCCATCCTCTCCCTGTCTATCTCACTACTCACCCATCCATTGTCAGTCTGTCTATCCGTCTGTCCGTCCATCTATCCGTCCACCCACCTATCCATCCAACAAACATGTTCCGTGTGCTGGTTGCTGGGTTGAGTGCTGGGGGATGCACAGGCAGGTTTGATGAGGTCTCTGCCTGTGTTCATTCAGTAAATACTGTTGGGCACTGACTGTGCCCAATATGATGATGGGCAACACCAACCACATGTGAACCAGTCTGTGTTCACATGTAGCTTTCACACAAGTGGAGGAGGTAGTGAAATAGTCAAATGGGAGTATAATTAGAAATTGGAAAAGCCAGCATGGAGGGGTGAACAGTGTGAAGAGGGTTCCTGTGGGGTGCGCTGTGGAATTGCTGCTGGGCCTGTGCCTCAGGGCAGGTCAGCAGAGAAGTGCAAGGAGAGGATGCAGAAAGAACAAGACTGGTAGGAAGAAAGGAACCAAAGGCCTGGAGGCCTCAGATGGGGAGCAAGGCGAGGGGGCTAAGCAGACAGTAGAAGTCAGACGCATGCCTATGTGAGGCCCAAGGCAGAGGCACTTGCCCAGGGATTCTCTCCAACAACATCCAGCCCCACACCCCACACCTATTGCTGCCCCCACCCCACACATATGCCACACACAAGTGTGTGGGCACAGACGTGGACACACAGATGCGACGGACACACACACGCACACGGCTGCACACACACGATGCACAGCATGGACACACATGGGGCACACACGCACACGTGGGTGTGCACAGGTGTGTCCACACGTTGAAACAGGTGTGCAACATGGAAGCACACACTCACAAACATGTGCAGACCGCCCGCTCTCAGCGTAGGTCAGACCCCACCTTCAGGACTCTGAGGCACTCGTTGGACTCGAGTCCTTTGCTGATTCTGGAGATGCCTTCGTTGCTGATGTTGTTGCTGCTGATGTCGAGGTAGCTCAAGCTGTTGTTGAGTCGGAGGACATCCCCGAGGGCCGCAGCCCCCTCGTTCCCAAAGCCATTCATGGAGACGGCCAGTTTCCGCAGGGTCACGTTAGCCTCCCGGGAGAGGGAACAGTGCTAGCATCAAGGTTGGGCCAGTCAAACAGGCCCACTTGCCAGCTCCCATGGCAGCCATATTGGGTACTCAGTGGCCCCCAGGAGGGCAAGACCTGCCAGGTCTTTCTGGACTTCCCACTGGGCTCATAGTCTTAAGTACTCTTGTGACGCCTTCCATTTGAGTTCGGGTCATTCTCTACCCCCTAATTAACTACCCTCTTGAGGCACCTCCAAAGATACCATGTAGTCCCCAGTAGGGTGACTTGACCTAGGTAGGATTTATACTAGAGGAATTGTGGGAAGGAGACCCACAAATAAAGAGAATTCAGTATACTCTTTCAACTGTGCTCATGAGGACGAGGTTGGAGATGGCAGGACAGGAGGCCGCGTTGAAACCTTATAAGGGCTTAATACTCCGCTCCCCCAGAGCACCTTACCCGGAGCCCGTTGCACAGGGCCACAGCTCCCAGTGTGTGGAAGTGATTCCAGCTCAGATCCAGTGACTGGAGCCCTATGTTGAGGGCTGGGGAGAGAGGGAATCATCTCAGCATCCTTCAACCCCAGAGAGCCCCTCTCAGAGTTGGCAGATGTCAACGGCGTCAGGATAGTGCTCGTTTAGTAGGTATGCAGAGGAAAACACTGGTGTGATTTTTTTTTGTTTATACATTTAAACACAAGATTGTGAGATGATTCCCAGTGCTGGCTGCAATGTGGTAAAACAAGCATGTGCACATATTGCAGGTGGCAAGCACATTGATATCATCTATTTGGCAAATGCTGTCTGGTCACAGATGTTTTCCTATTAAAATGTGTGTGCCTCATCACACAGCAATATCTCTTCTGAGACTCATCCTAAGAAGACAGTGTAGGATATAGGAAGGGCTACATGCTTGTAGATGTTTACTGTGACATTGCTTAGAAAAGTAAGGTCTAAGACCCACAGGGAAAGGGAAAGAGGTCATAACTATCCCCTGGTGGAATATTACACAGCCATCAAAATGGATGGATACAGCCTGGAATATTAGGGTCTGCATTCACAAAGGGAGGCTCTGGAATGGCACATTACCCTCCATGGTATCTTTTTCATGGAGACCTGTGGGAGCAGTGGTGGCTTCAAAATTCCTATCCAGGAGAGCATTAGGGACATAATGGTTTGGGGTTGGAGAGGCATCCGATTTCCCTAGAAGCTGGGATTGTTCAGAAAGTGCACTTTTTAAAACTTAAAGATGCTTTTCGTAAGTGCTACCTAGGGCTGGGGAAATATCCCAATTTAAGCAAATTCTCATTATTGTTTTCATCTTGGGAGGGTGGTCATGCTGGAAGGGGAGGCTAGAGCCCTCTACACTTTACTGAATGGAAAGAATTACCCTTGGACGTCAGGCCAGGGGAAATGTCTTAACCTAGTTTTTTTTTTTTCCTCGTTTATTTTTTTTGAATAGTGAACTCCATACTGATCACGTCTCTCTCTGTCACAGTCTCCAGGATGTATTTTTGGTGAAGTGCACAACACTTGATATTGTTTTGAGAATAAATTTTCTCCTTTCCTTTCTCTTCTTACCCTTATTTCCTCTTCTCTGCCACTTCCCTCTCATAAGTTATATCTTGCACTTCATCTTTTAAATTCTACACGACTGAAGTTTTAATTCTGTCTTCATCGCTTACTAGCTGTGTAACCTTGCCAAGTTACTTATCCCCCCTTCCTTCTGTTCCCTTACCTGTAAAATGGAGATTTTAAATTGTACTAGGTTTCTATGAGGATTGATGTGAGATGCCCAACATGATGCACATCACATGTTAATCATTTAACATTTGGTAGCTTTAATAAGAATGGACTATTAAATATTTTATACTAACACCAATCACTGAACTAAAGAATATGCATTTTTAAGTATGATGCGATATGATGGTACCAGCATGTCTGTCTCACCTTACATTTAGGACTTCAGTTTTCAAATGGAGGCTTGGACCACCTGATTCCTTTACACGTAGCTTATGCCTCCCAAGCACTGCTTTACACTTTCTCATTTTTCTGCATGCCTGTCAGTCTGCCCTCCACTGTCAGATGAAAACATCCTTCCTCCTTCCAAGGTGAACTCCACCAGCCCACCTTGCCCGCCTGCACTTTTGACCGTGAACTCCATGAACTCTGGGTCCTGCTTCTCCCAGACCTCGCCGTTCCAGGCTAACTGCTTCTGGGCAGCTCTTCTAGGACTTTGTTCCAGGAATGAGCTTTTCTTCCTTTTGCATCATATTTTCTTTCTATCAGTATTCTCCACCCTTCAAGACCTTGCTGGACTCTGTCCTCATTTTGCTGACCCAACCTTGACTGAGTGAAGTTTCTAGAAATGTCTGTACTGCTATGTCCACTTCTTTGCACCCCATCTTCAACTCAGCACCCTTCAGCCGGGCTTCTCCACTCCCCCACTTCACACCACAGCACCTGTCAGGGTCATCAGCTATGTCTGTGCTGCCAAGTCCCAAGGTCATTCTCTTGTCCTCATCTTACTTGAGTTCTAAGTGGCACCTGCCCCTGCCAGTTACTTCTCCCACCTTGAAACCCTCCCTACATGCTTCCTTGAGACCTGGTTTCACTCCTATTTGACTGACTACTCCTCAGGCTTTTCTCCTCCTCTCCCCTCTGCTCCTGTCAAAAAATGTTGGGGTGATCCGGGGCAGTGTGTGACCACCCACTCAACTCTTCCTACCCGCCTTGCCTGAACGACCCCATCTTGTCCCACACTAGACACTTTTATATATAAAAGTCCCTGATGCCCAGACAGATATCTCTGGCCTGCACCTGCTCACCAGGCCACAGAGGTGTGGAGTGGCTCTTGCAAACACCACGTGGCCAAAGTGCCCCTCTGGACCTGCCCTCCCTGGAGTAGAGGGAGCTTTCCCCTCCAGTCAACTAGGGGCTGAAAGACCAGAACCAGGGGCCTGTCTTTACCTGCCTCCTCCACACCAGCAAGGCCTCTTGGCCTTACCACCAAGACGCATTGTGGATCCATCACCCTCCTCTAGCACCCCTCCCGGCAGTCAGTGGTGCTCTCATCCTGTTGCCCAGAGGACCTCACTAGCATCCCCACTGGCCCCTCTTCTTCCTTCTGGTTCAATCTCCCTCTTCATCCAGCAGTTCTCCGAAAACTGCTCGTCAAACCGTCCCTCCCCCAATAGCCATCCTTCAGTGACTTCTCATTGCACGTAGCGTGAAACCCAGACCCTGTGCCTTGGCGCCCACAAAGCCCCACGGTGTGGCGTGGGCTGGCTGCCCAGTCCCTCCAACCTCACCACCCCTCCGCTGGGACAGCAGGTGCTCACCGCCCTTCCTCCCCCACCTGCCTGCGGAACACTGCACTCCCGGAACCCACAGGCAGTTTCGCTTTGATTTTCAGGTTTCAATAAAAAGTCACCTTCCCTGCGGGGCTTTTCTCGCCACCTCATCTAAATTAGCTCCTGTAGCTCGCAGCTCGTGGAGACCTCCCCCTTCCTCTCATTTCCCCAGGGGGGAACATTTGGGTTGTTTTTTCCTCTCCTAGCGGTTTACAGTGGGTTTACAGAGCGTCTCCTGACGTCTCTGTGTCGGAGAGCATCGGTGGCCTGTTGTGGAGGGGAATTGCCTCCAGGACCAAAACCTTTCCTACTTTGCAAACACTCAGATTGCTCTGCAAAGTGCTTTTACCCAGAAGCTTCTGAGCTCTCTTCTTTTTCTTTTGTGCTCCCTGCACTTGATATTCCTACTTGGAAATGTTGCAGCTTTGGCAGATGAGGAGGGAAATCTTTTTCTTTCGTCTTTTGCTTTCCTCTAGGGATCACAGAGCAGAGCGGGTGTTTCTCTTTTTCCGCTGCTCGTATTTCGTGACTGTTTTCTTGGGAGCGATTGTCATGGTCTAGCTAGCATAGGATAATAAATACCACATCTTCTATCCACTTTCCGAACACGAATCTGTTATATAAATGCTGCAACACTAATCCCATCTGTTGTTTCTCTTGTACCTTTGTCTCTGGTTTTAGCACGTGCACGTTTAAGCTTATTGTGCCAAGTAGGAATCGTTTTTATTGCAGTTTATGCCACTGTGTGTATTTATGGAGCGTAAGCATGCTCTGGTCAGCAAATTAGTTCTATGTTTATTTAATCATTTTTAAAGTTCCACTTCCACATCTAGGTGTTGACTTCAGATAAAATGCAGTTTGAGTATTGTGTACGTCACTTTTATCATGAGAAAATGTAATAACTACAGTAACTAACAAGTCCTGGTCCCCGAGTTCTTTGCTGCGCCACCCTCTGTGGGAAACTCACCCAGCATCTGTCCCAGGTATTCACCTCCCTTATCAGAGAGCTGGTTGTGACTGAGATCCAGCGACTTAATTTGGTGATTGATCTAGAGAAGGAAACAGTAAGAGAGAGAGAGAACTTTTGTCTCTATGTGACAGCAGATACCGCCCTTATCTCGGGGTGTAATGCAGCGCTCCCACGCACCAAAATTCAGGTGGGGTAGCGTTCTCAGATTGAAGGCAACTTCTCGAGCATTTTCTGGGAAGCTGGCGATGGTTATGGGAGAATTTAGTGTTCCCCAAACTGCCTTACCACTCGTGGCTGCTTTTGCCAAGATTGGCAGAGTTCACGTCTATCAGCTCTCTAAACTGTGCGGTGGCTGGTTCTGCCAAGCCACACCCTACGCCCAGAGCCACCAGCCTGGGAGACCCAGGTCCCCCCTGGGACATCTCCCACTCCCGTCCCTGGCTTCTTACCGACAGTGCCTGGCACAGCTGCTCTGCAGATTCTTCTTTGAAGTTATTTCCTGTCATGAAGGTGGGTGTTAGCATAGCTCTCCCACAGCCCAGCCCTCAGGTCTCTTCCCTTTGAAACAACCAGTCATAGGAAAGGGGGCAAGTACTCAAGGCAAATATAGGGGTAGAGAAAAAACAGAATAAAGGACAGCTAATCACACCACTTTATGCCCGGTCCGTTCTCTCTCCGCCCTGCCAGTCCGGAAGTTCTAGGAGTTGGTCCACCATACCCAGGCATCCACTGGGAGCGTCAACCCCAGCTTGGGCATAAAGACCGCCATGTTATAAACAAAACAAGACCTGAATCCGCTTCTCAGCAGCAAGGCCGGGAACAGAGAGCAGTGAGGTGCTTGCAGTGTGCGGAATCAAGGGTGGCAAAAAGCACAGCCATCACCACGAATAATATCTTCATGCAACATTTCAAAAAAACCAAAACCAATGCAAAAACATCTATGATGAACCAATTGAAATATTTAAATACAGGTGGGATCTGACCTTAAACTTACACGGCTACCTTCACCTCCAGTCTGTCCTTGTTAAGTACTGTTCTTTATTGAAATACTGATATTTTATTATCAATTTGTTTTTATATTAACTTTGACATTTTAAAATGTTGCATTAAAATTTTATTTACCTGGTTACTGAGGTTTTTAGTGCACCTTAAATTTAGCAACTGAGGCAAATCTACCCCTTAGATAATTCTAACCACACCCAGCTAAGCAGCCTGAAGCATTGCAGATTTTTGGGAAATAAGTGAAGTAGGAAGCCATTTTTAAGGCAAGACTATACGAATTAAATCTATAAAAGAAAAGGACTGGTAAATACAACAACAATAAATACAGAAACTGCTGTCTAGGATAACACCATAAACAAAGCCATTTGCAACTCTAAAGCATTCAAGTGTAAATATCTGTGGTGTAGAGAAAGCACCTAAAGTTCAGTAATACAAACAACTCCACACAAAGTTTATATTTCCTAGGAGAGGACATGGAAAATGGAAATAAGCACAGAGAAAGAGGTTCTATTTCAGTGGCAATGTGAGACCATCATGATGATTCAATAGCTCACTGAATCCTTAGGTGCTGCTGCTCTAGGTGTTTCCGATTTTAATTCTCTTAGCCCTCACAGTCACTGTCTGAAGTAGGTAATATAATTCTCCCTCGTTTATAAATGAGGAAAATGAATCGAAGAGGGTGTAATAAGAGCTTGTGCAGTGTCAAAACTGGGATCTGAATCCAAGGGCCGTGGTGGCAACATTCACATGATTCAGCATTTTGATCCATAAACAACTAGCTCCTGACCTGTCTGGTGAGGGAGGAAGGACTCAGGCCGGCTTGGTGGCCCTGCAGCCTGCCATGGCCATCTTACAGGCAAATTTGGCCTGAGGAGGACAGTCTGGCAGCTTGCAACGCGGAGCCTGAGCCTTGGCTTCACCTGCTGATCGCGGCTTTCCTTTGGACTCTCCTCACCAGGGACTGGCCCGAGGAGAGGTCCCCCGCCCCCACCTCTGGTGGAGCTGGAACCTAGCCCTATTCTTTCCCTCCAAGTCCCAAGTCCCTTTACCTGATCTTATTGGCTACCCTGTGCCTTCATCCTCTCTGGTGCTTATAAAAGCATTTCATCTTAGGCATTTTTACTATGATGTAATCAGATGCCGACTTCTTTTTATTTATCTTACTTAGGATGCACTAAGGTTCCTGAATCTGAGATTTCATCGATTCAGGTAACATTACTTGTTCAACCTTCGTGCACACCTGTTCTCGTTTCTTTCCTTCTGGAATGCCTCTTGGCTATGGTGGGTCTGTTCATGCCTTTATCTTTTATATTCCTATAGTTTATCTTTCTATACTGCAAAGGTAGATAAAATATCTTCCAGGTCATTAAGTTTATTCCCTTCTATCTAATCTGCTCCATTTATTCAGTAAATTGTTAAAATTTTATTTTTTACTGCTAGAAGCTCTATGTTGGGGGCAGGGGTCTTTCTAAAAATAATCTTTTTTTTTATGTTTTTACTTGTATGATCTTAATCATATTAAACATGGTTGGGTGTTAAGATATGTTTGCATCCTTCGCCTAATTGCATCTTCCATGATACTAACTTCATATTTTTTCTAGTTTGGGGGTGTCTAGTCTCTATGTGGAGTCCACAGTACCACTGCTGACATGGTGATGGGAAAGGAACAGTAAGCCAGCATTAAACTCTAGTTTAACATTTAAAAACAAATGTTTGTTTGTGGTTCCAGTAATTAACAATACCGCTGTGCAGCGTGAAGGATAACTGATATGATCCCTCAATTTATAGTGCAGATCCGATCATTCTAGTTCCAGAAGCTCCTGGAACTAGAGGGTCATGTGTGGCCACTAAGTGAATCTGATAATTTCTTAGCGTTTTGTTCCTTGTTTTGCACTCAGGAGCTGTGAGCCAGTCTTTAATGGAGCCATGTGGCAGGGGGCTCGCAAGCAGCCTGAAACTGAGTTGCAAATTTCTGTGCATTTCTGATGAGTGGCCCAGAGTATTACCAGCACAGAACCATCTTTTGTGTGGGTTTCTTGCAGGGAGAATACATTCAGACCACAAGCACTAGTGAGGGAGAATGGTGGGTACTAGAGGAAGCTGTGCTTTCCCTGTGAGATCATAGATGAATTCAAACTCCGGTCTACAGATGGGGTCAGGTAGTAATGACAGGTATGAAGGAAGCCAAGCAGGGAACTAGGATAGCCAGTCTGATGGCTCTAGGGGTGGTCAGAGCCCCCCACGGAGATGGCAGGCCAGGGGCTACTCTGTGAGAACCATGAGAGAGGTTCTCACCACCAGAGCCATGTAGCCGTCTGGCGGGGAGAGATGTGTGAGCAGAGGGAGGAACACTGCAAAGTGAGTTGAAGTCGCTTGTGCAGGAAGTGGGGGGGGGCGGCTGTGGAGGGTGACGCAGGTGTGGACCCAGTGACCTGGAGTCTGAAGCAGAAGGACACAGTCCTGCGGTCCTGCGTGGTTAGACCTGGGTCCTCTCTGCTCTTCCCTCCTCCCTCTTCATGGCCTACTTCCCCCCTCTCTTCTCCCATGGGCTCACCTGAAAGCTGCAGGATCGTGAGGGAAGAGGTATTTCTCTGGAGGAATGTTGAGATGATTCTGGCTCCCTCAAAACCAAGATCATTTTCAGAAACATTCTAAAAGGCAATAAGACATCTATGTATGTGAAGCCTCACCAAGGCCCTCCTCAGAGAAAGCCACCAGCTGGTGCTTACTTGAAGCCTGGCTCTAGGGTGAGATGGGGGTGAGGGGGAGTAGGTTGGGGGGCTGGGGGCATGGGAGTGGGGGATTGCTAAGATTGGTGTCCTGCAGAAGAGAGAATGGAGGGGGAAGCCCAGGCTTCCTACTGCTCCCTATGAGCTCTCGGGGAATTCTGACATTGATTCACTTACACCCACTCCACGAGCACATTATAATGGGTGTGCGTGTTAAATTCCCTTTACAGATTCCTGCCGTGTGAATCACTCGCAGAAGGAGCAGGCTGTGAATGGCCACAGATCTTTCAGGCCAGTGGGGAGACTGTATTATCAGTTATTACTATCCTAACTCTTTTCCCCAATCTTTAACATTGTGGTAAAACAGACGTCAGGCAACATTTCCCACCCGGGCCATTTTTTAAAAAAAAAAATATATATGATAGTTTATTTTCACATCATTTTGTGCATTTTTTCATCTCAGTTGTAATCCCTGTGCCACCCTGGCCATTTTTAAGGGCAGGTCACTCATGCCGTGGCATTACTGCTGGTGTCTCACTGCAGGCACTTTGTATCAGGAAATCATTTCATGCTCTGGTTTTCTTTAAGAAAGTGCACTTTAAGCCATGGCAGGGAAGTGAGTCAATCTACTGAAAGGCCTACACAGCCCCCCGAGGTGTGGTTTCAGGGGGTCTCCTAGGCCACAGGAATCAGGTGCCCCGGCCATGGCTGGGTGTGACCCTCCTCTGAAAAGTCACGCCCCGAGGAGAGGAGCCCCGCGAGTGTGGAGACCCCAGGGCCTGGCCGGGCTGGGGTGGGGCCTGGGGTCTGGTGGGTCCTGTCAGAGCTCCCCGGTGGGCACAGTACCATCTCCTGGATGTAGTAGTTCTCATGCAGCATCTCCACAAGGCTCAGGAGGCCCTTCTCTGTGATGCTGTTGTCTGCCACCTCCAGTGTCACCACGCTCGTGTTGGACTTCAGCCACCATGGGGGTAGGGGAGGAAGACAAAGGTGTTGGTGACCCCATCATTCCCCACTCTTGCCCAGAAGCTGCCCCTCTTTTGAACATCCCGACCAAGACAGAGGGTCAGAATGTTCTGGAAGGTTCTGGAAGTTTCCAGGAGAAGGAGAGCAGCGGGGAGGGGAGGGGGGCAAACTTCTCCCTGAGCTTTGCCAAGGCAATATGTTGATTCTGGGCACCACCATGCAAAGGGGCTCTTCTGTGGGGAAATTTAGAAGAGGGATGTGGAAGTAGTAATGCCCTAAAAAGAGACACGAGGATGCATGTGAGCTGTTTGGCTTTGAGAGAAGACCGTGACTGAGTCAACTACAGGAGAACTCAGTATATTTAATACGGACATTTAAGCAAAAAGCTGTAGGCGAAACTATTTACTCTCTGCTTCCTTCGGAGGTCTTTATCCTGGTCTAGTCTTGAGGCTCACTGGTGGTGTTCTCTCTGTTAGGCTGTGGCCTCAAGGCTGTTTGCCAGGGTCTGCCCTCACATCTCTCTTCCGTCCACACTAGCTGAGGAGCGAGCCAGCGGGCGTGACTTGAAGCATCCCAGGACTGGTCAGCTCTGACTTGAACATTTCTTCTCCCCTTTGTCATGAGACTTGAGCATTTTCAAAGCTCACCAAGCAGCAAGAGCAGCAAGTGGAAAGCTGCTCTGGCTCCAGGGAAGGGAGCAGGAGAGAGGACGGCTCCCAGGGCCAGCAGCTCACAGCGGCCTGGGGACCTGTGCCTGGGCTCGGCTCTCGGGTGGGCAAAATTCCTCTGTGCTTAAAGGCAAGCGCGAAGGCTCAGGATCTTCCCGGCCCTGCACGGGGTGTGATCACTGTCACCTGAGGACCAGCAGTCACCCGTCACCAAGCCCACTCACCTCCTCACTCAGTGAGTGTTCGTGCCACTCTGGTACCACTCGAGGATGAGCAGAGAATATCCCTGCTCCGAGGTGCTGTTCTCCATTGAGTGGGGCTGGGGGGGTCGGGGTGGGGTGGCTGTGAGCTGGCCTGGAGGAAGTGTGAAATGTTATCAGCAGTGTCTTTCCTTGGAGCTGGGCGAGCACGCCATGTGCAAACTTACACAGCACACAAGACGAATGATCCAGGCCGCCAGAATGTCACAGCAGGCGTCAAAAGCTGAGGGATAACTCAGCTTGGTACCAGAAGCTATCACCAGGACAGGTGGCTCAAGTCTGGGGAAAATTCCAGTATTATCCATGTTTTCCAGGAAGCTCACGGGGTAAAGGTGCCTCAGACACTTGATCACTTAGCCTTTCTATGCTCACTCATCCTCTCTGCTTTGCTGGAGTGGGAGGTGGGAGGGTGGGGGTGGGGGTTGGGG